CCACATTACCAGGGAGGAGCCCCTCCTCTCCTACACCTGTGACCTCACTTCTCACTCGTGGTCTGGGGAAGACCAAAGACACATTGGGTACAAGTGTGGAACCTGTGTCCAGTTCACCTTCAGGTGAGATGAGCACCAGGATTGAGATACTGTCCACCTCTGAAGCCTCCACAGGTACAGATGCAATTCAGCCCTCCAAAAACACAGCTGGGACCCACCGGGCCAACACAATTTCTGGACATGAAGCACATTCCTCTGCCCCAGCTGAATCAGAGCCATCGAGTGTCACGTCCCCAACGGTTACTCCTTTCCCCTCTAGGGACACCAGTGTTTCTACATCAATGCCTCGCTCTTTAGAAACTACAGTGTTTGAGATACACTCCACATCCTCTCTGACTCCTCCACTGAGGAAGCCCAGCCCCGTCCAGCAGAACAGCACAGCCACAGAGAAAATCGCCGTCCCTTCCAAAGTACCCACTGATACGACTATTGGGAACTCTAGGACCGAACCGATCTCCCCTAGCAGCACGTCCATCCCTGGCCCTGTTCAGTACACGTTGTCGCCAGACATTCCTGCAGGCATCATCACCGGGCCCTCTGCCTCTCCTGTGCCAACAGAATCTGCAGAAGTCACCATGACCACCCAAACAGGTCCCATTGAGCCTACATCACAGGACCCACTTACCTTGGGCACTACAACCAACACCTCAGGGGCAGAGATCCACTCGACTGTGACTCACAGTTTTACGCACCCAGAGATGACCACTCTCAGCAGCAGAGGTCCCGAGGATGTGTCTTGGCCAAGCCCTGCCTCTGTGATAGAGGCTGGCTCTCCATCTTCCCCAGTGATTGTACCTGCCATGACAACACCCTCCCCTGAGCCATCCAAATTACCAGGGAGGAGCCCCTCCTCTCCTACTCCTGTGACCTCACTTCTCAACCGTGGTCTGTGGAAAACCAGAGACACATTGGGTACAAGTGTGGAACCTATGCCCAGTTCACCTTCAAGTGAGATGAGCACCACCACTGAGATACTGTCCACCTCTGAAGCCTCCACAGGTACAGATGCAATTCAGCCCTCCAAGAACACAGCTGGGATCAATGGGGCCAACAAAAGCTCTGGACGTGAAACACATTCGTCTGCCCCAGCTGACTCGGAGCCATCCAATGTCACGTTTCCAATGCTTATTCCTTCCGACTCTAGGGACACCCGTGTTACCACATCAGTGCCTCACTCTTTAGAAGCTACAATGTTTGAGCTAGACTCCATATCCTCTGTGACTCCTGAACTGAGGAACACAAGCACCGTCCAGCAGAACCGCTCAGCCACAGAGGAAATCGGCGTCCTTTCCAAAGTACCCACTGATACGACTACTGAGATCTCTAGGACAGAACTGATCTCCTCTAGCAGCACGTCCATCCCTGGCCTTGTTCAGTCCACGATGTCGCCAGACTTCCCTGCAGGAACCATCACCTGGCCCTCTGCCTCTTCGGTGATGACAGAATCTGCAGAAGTGACCATGACAACCCAAACTGGTCCCACTGAGGCTACATCACAGGACCCACTTACCTTGGGCACTACAACCAACACCTCAGGGGCGGAGATTCACTCCACTGTGACTCAGAGTTTTACGCACCCAGAGATGACCACTCTCAGCAGCAGAGGTGCCGAGGATGTGTTTTGGCCAAGCCCTGCCTCTGTGAAAGAAACTGGCTCTCCATCCTCCCCACTGACTGTACCTGCCATGACAACACCCTCTCCTGAGCCATCCACATCACCAGGGAGGAGCCCCTCCTCTCCTACCCCTGAGACCTCACTTCTCACTCGTGGTCTGGGGAAGACCAAAGACACATTGGGTACAAGTGTGGAACCTGTGTCCAGTTCACCTTCAAGTGAGATCAGCACGACCAAGGAGATACTGTCCACATCTGAAGCCTCCACAGGTACAGATGGAATTCAGCCCTCCAAGAACACAGCTGGGACCCACGGGGCCAATACAAATTCTGGGCATGAAGCACATTCCTCTGCCCCAGCTGACTCACAGCCATCCAGTGTCACGTCCCCAATGCTTACTCCTTCCACCCGTACGGAGACCAGTGTTTCCACATCAATGCCTCACTCTTTAGAAACTACAATGTTTGAGCTAGACTCCACATCCTCTCTGACTCCTGAACTGAGGAACACCAGCACTGTCCAGCAGAACAGCTCAGCCATAGAGAAAATCGCCGTACCTTCCAAAGTACCCCCTGATATGACTACGGAGATCTCTAGGACCGAACCCATCTCCTCTAGCAGCACGCCCATCGCTGGCCCTGTTCAGTCCACGATGTCGCCAGACATCCCTGAAGGCCTGATCACCAGGTCCTCTGCCTCTCCTGTGACGACAGAATCTGCAGAAGTGGCCATGACCACCCAAACAGGTCCCATTGAGGCTACTTCACAGGACCCACTTACCTTGGGCGCTACAACTAATACCACAGGGGTGGAGATTCACTCGACTGTGACTCAGAGTTTTATGCACCCAGAGATGACCACTCTCAGCAGCAGAGGTGCCGAGGATGCGTTTTGGCCAAGCCCTGCCTCTGTGAAAGAAACTGGCTCTCCAACCTCCCCAGTAATTGTACCTGCCAGGACAACACCCTCCCCTGAGACATCCACATTACCAGGGAGGAGCCCCTCCTCTCCTACACCTGTGACCTCA